GGTGGTGGGGGGGGGGGTTGGGGGAGGGTGCGACATGTTGAGTGTTATTTTGAATTTATTTTAGTTTCTACTTGATGTTTATTTCCTTCTGTTTATCCAGGTCGATGTTGTAAAAAGTCTGAATGTTCAGATGGAGCCCTCAAAATAACTATGTTAGTGTAGTAATACTAACTAAACTATTTTTACTTCAAAATATAATGAAAATGTTTGTTTTTTGAAGTTAACATCTTTCTTTATGGAAGTAAATGAAATTGCTTGACACTACTTGCAAATATGCATTTCTAAACAAAACATTTTCCTCATCTGTATGCTACTGTAGGACTTTCACTTAATTAGTAATTATTTGTGTTGAGGCACAGGTTTGTCTTGCTCTTTACTTTTGAGTATTGCTTAAATATGCAAGGCATAAAACGAATTCTTACTTACACATGAAGTTACTTGCAGCTGATCTGACTTCCAGCTTACTCTAAAGAATGGGTTGGCTGGGTATATGGCGGGTGTTTCTGGAAGAGTTTCAGATTGTATCTTTGAGTAGACAGATAGCTCTAGTGTAACTTCTTGAGTGATCTTGCAGTTGTCCAGACTTCTGTCTATTTTTTAGGTGAACAGTTTTAGATTAAATTTGTAGCTTTATGGAAGATTCTTAAAAGGAGAGTGAATGGCAGAGACCTTCTCTAGAGGAGAGGGTAGGAATAAGGTGTTACAGTTGCCAGTGAATGTGAGAAGAGGGCAATAAAACTGATCAGGTGCTTCCAACGTGGTGGGGGGGTGTGTGTGTGTGAAGAGGTTAGAGTATAATTTACCATCTAAATTTCTGGGACTCCTGGCTTATTTTCTTGCTTTTTGCAATTGCGTTTATTTTGTGGCAGTCTCTGGCTGGTAAGCATCTTACATGCATACTCACAATCAACACACCCCACCTGACTTCCTTTGCATAATATCGAGGCTGCTAAATCTAGGACAAAGAGTTAATGCATGTGTCACTGATTTTATGGGACCTGAAACCTCCAGTAGAATTCCATTTCATTTTGAAGTGATCTAACATAGTACATGGAGTAACTTGCTCTCTCAACAGTCCCCTCGCTTCATCCTCTCAAAGGGCCTTCAAACAGTCAACTTAGTTTCAATGGTAATTTGTTACTGCCATGTAGTTAACTTGTAAGTCTTTTTCCCCAAGTATTTGAAAAATGCCCTCTGGCTAATTTCTTGCTGTGTATGTAGATCACATTTCACTTCCTTAACCAATTGTTAAAAAGCTTTTAGAACTGATCTTCTAAATGTACATGTTGGCCTTGGAAACTCAAAATTCCACTGAGATTGCTAGTATGGGTTTTGGTTGTAATGATAGTAGGTATTTCTACCAGCAAACTTGCTGGTTTACATGTTTAGGGACTAGTAGGGGTTGATACCTGCTTTGAAATAAGGTTTAGCTTGCTGATAATACAGCCCATTGATGAGTCAGAGCGTTATTATGTATTATACCTGCTGAAGACCCTGAAAATTTAGCTGGTGCAGTGATCTGTGAATTTTTCAGAAAGACTTACTAGCTGTAGTAACTGCTATTGCTCAACAGTTGGAGTGTTGCATTCAATGCTATCTAGTACTGCTAACATGGATTATCTCATTCAAATGAGATGCTTAAGTTGAAGCACTTGCTGTACAACTACATCTAATAATAATTTCTTACTAATTGATGAAATTTTTTAAATTTATTTTGCAGTAATCTATGCCAGCAATTATGACAATGTTAGCAGACCATGCAGCTCGTCAGCTGCTGGATTTTAACCAGAAACTGGATATCAATCTCTTGGACAATGTGGTGAAGTGCTTGTACCATGGAGAAGGCGCACAGGTAATGTGCACTTAGAACCTATGTCTGTTGACCATGTTTAAAAGTTGCTCAAATCAGTTGAGCAAAATTGATTTACTTCAGTAAAAGTCAGTAATATTAGTGAATTTACTTTGATAGTGACTAGAATATCACTGGTAATTCATGTTCCCTTGTTTAAAGGTAGGCTTCATGTAATTAATATTGTAATGATGCCTAGAAAAATGTTGGTTGAGTGTGTGTTAATTTCTAGCATGCCTTTGCTTTTGAAAGGGTATGAGCAAGTACAGCTTCGTAAGAGCACTTTTGCTTGCAGCTTGCCTTCTCTGACTTAGGTCTTCAGGAACGTTCAGGGTACCTGTTGTTTATTATCACAGACAGGATTTGTGAAGCTGTAAACTCAATATTAGCTTCACTAAAGGATTGTATTTAAAAGAAAAATCTTAATGATGTTATTATGGTATTTGTACTTCCAAAGGAGCATGTCACACATTAAAGAGAAGAGTTTGTCCTTTCTTGTCTTTTTTTTTCCCAATTACTGTTGGTCTGTATGGGTTCTTCTTGCATGCTTTTATTTGGACTTAGTGCAGATTATGAGGTCTAAGTTTAAATTCGGGGAATGTGTGCATTTATGTGATTCTTGTATTGCTTTTACCTATTTCTTGAACTATTCTTAATAAGACTTAAATGTTGAAAGTAAGTACTGCTACAAGAGCATTGGCATAGTTCTTCTGTCAAGTTTTAATGGTTCATGCTTAACAAATGGGGAGTTTCACTGTCAGACATACCAGTTACTAAGATATGCTTATGCAACAATAAGAAGTGAATTAAAATGAGACAAAGCAGCTGATGCTCTTCTATTCCTTCCAGCTGTTAGAAAAAAAAATACTTATGCTTTTTTTGTGCACCTTTCTTTTGCTTTTGTAAGGCTTACTGATGTGAATTCCTACAGATTCTGAAATCCCTTGTTGTTTGAAATACTTGTATTTTGAGTTTTCTAAACTCAGATAGTTTCTAGCTGCAGTTTTTTAAATGATCATGTGACAGAAAACTGCTTGTAGCTTTTGCCTTAAAAGTATGGACTTGTGAGCGCTTGTTTTGCAAACCATGTTTGTTTACTGTATTGTGCTTTTATAGTATTGCTTGGTTTGAATGGAGTTTAAAAGGTTGGGAAGACTTATAAGGAAAAAGAAGATTAACACTAAATACAGTGATCAAATTGCTATTGTTCTGGTGTTGTGGGAAGTTGTTTCACTTAAAAGAGCTGGACATAGTTTCTTCTGTTTAGAAAATTAATGCAATAAGAAGCAAAATTCAAAGAGGTGGTGCTTAACTGCCAAAAGTGAATTATGATATAAACCTATTTTAAATAAATGTACTAATGTGTGTCACTTTAGTGAAAATTTGGTTTGCTATTTTGGTACATTTCCAGAGGTGGAGACATTTCAGTGAGTCTTTGAGCTCTTACCTCTTCCAAGGAGTTAAAAAGTTCCTGCAGGAAAAAAGTGCTTCTCTGTGTAGCCCAACAGCTCAAATCATGACTGAAAGGATGACAGGAATAATAGAAGTTGAGGAGACTACATAATAAAATTGGGAGATTAACAGTGGTTTGCCTGGAATGGATGAGGGTAATGTGGAAAAAAGGTTTAGAATGCAGCCTGGATGGCCCGTGCTGAACTTGCTTTCAGATTCACCTGTCTCCTCATTCTGCTTAATTCTTGTCTCTGCTTGCAAAACTTAGCTGCTGATCTATATTAGGCAAGAATGAAGCTGTTGTCTGTCCTAGACTTTTAAATTTTTCTGCTCTTCAGCTTTTTTTGTGTACTTTTCTGAAAAGAAAGAATGTCCTCAACCCCACCCTAGTCCAATGCATGACTGAGGAGACTAAAGACAATCCATAGATGTTTACCTGCACTCATCCCTGACTCTTACTCTGGTCTGTTAAACTTTCACACGCCCAGAAGGATTATTTCCTAACTGATTTTCTTCTTGGTAGCAACAACACAGTGAGGTTTCAATCTTGATTAAGCATTACTATTAAGTTTATACTATATTTATGAAGTTACCGGAATTGATGTCCACAATCAGGGTTAGTGGGTATGAGAGCAAACATTTCAATACTTGGGAGAAGGATATTGAGTATCTGTAGTTCGTTGGTGTTGAAATTTGATCCTGTGATGTGTCACCAGTATTAGAAGCACTAAGGAGACCAGTATAAAAACAGACCCAGGTTGAACCTGGAAGTAATGCAGCTAATCTTTCCCGCTTACACTAAACTGCATCAAAAGTGCTGATTTTTTTCTTTTAGGCTCTGATGTCATACTGTGAGAACTTTTTGGACTTAAAAGGAATATTTGTGTGGTACTTCTCCATACCAAATCTACAGGAACTTAATTGCTAGTCTAAGTCAGTATCAGACAGGGAGTTTCTCCACTGTGCTGAGTTACGTTACGTAGGGATGCCAGTATTGTACAGTTTTTCTTGCTCTTTGCTGTTTTAGCTTTCAATTTTAATTTGGTAAATCCCATACCCAATGTGTCTGTTTCTTGCATTACACACATATATATATATATATTTTGGGTCCTGATTGTTATAAATAGGGCTACTCACCAGGCATATGATTCTTAAAAATCAATAATTTTATTGGATAAGGCCCAAGCAAACAGTGCTGGGCGCAAGGGGAGCGAGGCACTTCCCACTCTACCAACAAGCACAGCTATCACAATGGCATTTCCCTTATTTATGCTGCAAAGCTTTACATATTCATTTGATTTTGCAATAAGCTTATGCATAGTAATTTCCTAGCCACTCCTCTCCCCGCTTCGTATTATAATTAGCTAAGGAGTCCCTTTGAGCCTGCGCAGTGCTCTCTGGTGGTCGTCCGAGGGACCCCAAGATGAAGTAAAACTGGTCTTCCTTAGGCAAACTTTTCACCTTCTTGTTCCTTTGGCCTGAGTCCGAGGTTCGAACTAGTCTCGACCGGTTCTTGGATAGTCGTTCTTCATTGTACCATTGTTGAGGTAGTCACTGTTCGTTACAGCATACCGCACAAAAACTTAACCACATTTATCTTAAGACCATATTTGGGCATGCAGCTCATTAATCTATTGCTCAAGCATATAGATGCACTTCCTACTTCTAGCTATGCTTAGCAATTTCTCCAGGTATCAATTTAATATACCTATATATGCATAAAATCATTCCTTTTTATCCTACATGAATCACCACACTTCTCACATTATGGACTTTCTACCTTACTGAAAATACGGGTTTTCTTATACCAGCTGATGATTAGCTCAAGTATGTACTTGTAGCAGACTAGAACTCTGTATAGCTGTAGTAAGTTCTAACTGTTGAAGTTAATCCTGAAGTAAAGCTTTAACTGCTTTGTAATTCCATTGAATTGGCTGTACAGTGCAGTGAAAGAATGAACTAAGTTCTGTTAATTGTGGTGTAAAACGTTTATCTTGTAAGACAGTGTCTGCTTGTAGATGATGTAATTTGCAGCAAGATTGGTCAATACACTGCACTTTTGAAAACAGCTAACATCGTTTGTCTCCCTTAAAAACACTTATCCACATCCAGGCTTGTGAAAAGGACAGCTAAAGTGAATTCAGGTATTTTAGTGTGTAATTGCTTCAGATGAGACTTTTTAAGTTACTGAAACCATAGTATCTGGGACAATAATTGGTAATGTCAGTCTCGGGGAAAAAAAAACTGTTAGCATGACTAACTCCCTCCCCCCGCCCCCCAAATCAGTTTTTAAAATCGTTTAGTAAGCTGTTAGATACATGAAGGGATCCCTCAGAAGTAGGGTTTGGAGACCTCTGCTTTGTGCTGCTTCAGAATAAAATCAACAGTTCCTACATTAACAACTTTGCATCATGATACTGTATTTCTTAAAGCTGGCATTTTATATATATATTTCCAGTATACATGTAAGTTTGGAAGCCCTTGAATAAAGTTTTATCTAGATGATTTTCTTGAATGAGAGAACTTCATTCCTTAGGATGTTTTCCCTATAATATGTGCTGTTCTTGCATGTTTACTGCTGGTGTAGGTGAATCATTCAGTATGGAAGAGTGGAAGTAAGTAAATTACTGTTCTTGCATCAATGCATTTTTGGAGTTTGGTTGTCAATAAGTCAATTGTCACATAAAAGGATGCCTAAAGGACGAGTTGCTCCTGATTGAGTTCTGCCTAACTGTTGGTTAAGTGATTTAAAGGTGTGCTATATATTAATGTCTTCACTGACAGTATATATTTTCTTAAATAATCTAATACTAATTTTTTTTTTATTCAAACTTTTAGCAAAGAATGGCACAGGAAGTCTTGACTCACTTAAAAGAGCATCCTGATGCGTGGACAAGAGTTGATACTATTTTGGAGTTTTCTCAGAACATGAATACCAAAGTAAGCAAATTAACTTTTATTTATTTGGTTTTCCTCTTTCTTCCATTCATCAGCTTTGAGGAAGGTATCTCATTTTTAGCCGTAGACTTTCTTGATTCAAACCACTTTTTTTATTGTCTTGTTCCCAAAGTTGGCTTTAAACAAGAGCAGTAAGTGGACAAAATATTTAGACCTGCTTTTACATTGACAAGAGTTTCTTTCTCCCTTTTTTTTAAAGGAAGAGCTAAATTGGAAATATAGGGGTTTTTTTCAAGGCACATAAAATTATGCCAGTTCTAAAGATTGGTATGTGTCTGTATACATCTAAGTAATGAAGTCTCCTAGAGCCACATTTTGTCCATGGGTGGGCGTGTGGCTGGTTTTGATCATAATGAGAGCCGTGTGCACATAACTGAGGAGAGAATTTGTCCCTAGGTGTATTAAAGACAAAATAGAAACAGTTTTAGGCCAAGATTCTGAGTGATCAATGAAAGTTAACCACCTCAGACTCTTTGTAGTATGAGATTAGTCTTGACTAATATGCAGAACACATTTGCTTTGTACTGCTGTTTTGAATCCATCCATCATGGTAGAAACTAAAAGAGGCATCATTCAGTTTTTTTCTACAATTTTAAATGCTTTACCTAAGACGTCTGAAGTTTGAACCAAAAAGTTAATCAAAATGTGTTTTCACTGTCTTAAGTTGATTATTATTTCAGATAACTGACATGCATGTTTTTCTGCTTGATGCACACTGTGTTCAAACAGAAAATAATCGTGTTTGGATATTCTCTGAACTCAGGCGGTATTTGTGAAAGCTCCATTTTTTTTCGTTGCTCTCTGAAGTTTAGGGGAAAACAGTTTAAAGAACTTCCTCAAAGTGCTAACCTTTAACAGTGTTTGCCTGTTTGCTTGCCTGGTAAACTTTGCTTTTTATACTGACAGACATTACTAATGTTTAAGTTGATTTATCAACAGTATTTTTAAAAACTCAAATTTGTCTTGTGAAAAATGAGATGATTAGAGGAACAGAAAGAAAGCAACAGGTAAAGAATTCTTCAATTTACATAAATTGCAAATGATTTGGTGCTAAATTTATGCACTATGACATTTGGCTTTTATGCAATCATATTTTTTCTTTAATTAAAGCTGTTAACACTACCTGATATTAATCATAATGTTCCATTATGTTGATTGCTTGTAATAGGAAGAAAAGGGGTGTCTTCCTGTGCAACTGACACAGCTAGGCTTTGACGGCAGGCCTCCACAAGGTCTACCCTTTTGATTCCCTTTAACTGAATTCTGTTCATCAATTGTTTTTGTTTCTTGGGAGGTGGGAGGGAAAGGGATTCGGTGCATAGAATAAGTAATAAGGGGACCGTAGAAATTTCTACCATAGGGATCATTCAATACTTTTTTTCAGTCTTTGCTGTTACCTGTCCCTCATCTTCATAACTGAGCAGTGAATTGGTATTAGACAATGAGAAAGAAGCAAACCAAGAGCAAATTAACTTTGAAAGACTTCTTTTTTATGCACAGTTTAAATGTGTTTGTGTGCAACGTCTCAATAATTAATTAACATGTACACTTCTGATAGCTCAGATGATAAAATTTGTAATTGGTATTGCTGACTTTTTTTGGGCTTGATTTATCTAATCAATGGGGAAATACCAAAAATTAGATCTATCAAATCAAGTTAAGCTTAAAAACAAAATAAAAAAACCTGGAAAGCCCTTTGAAGAATGTTCAGGCGGGCTGATGAAGCCTTCAAACATGATATGGCAAGAAAGATGTGTAGGTGAAGATGGTATACAGTGATTTTATTACTGCTGCCATTTCATTTAATGTGTGAGTGTTTGGAAGAATGAATATTACTAGTACTGAGGAAGAGATGAACAAGACATTGAGAGAGGGCAGAGTTGTAGCCACATGTACAAAAGAATGGCTAGAAACCTAGACAGCATGAACCTCTTCACAGTTTAAGGTACATGAATCTCCATTAGATATTTGAGCAGAAAATGAGGGATAGGTGTAGCAAATTGCTAGAGGTGTCTGTCCTTTAATGAGAGGAAATCCTAAGTGGGAAACAAAAAGACTAAAGATGATGTCTGTCTTTGTCAGGATTTTCATTAAAGTTTTTTTGGTCATTAGTGCTTTTGTAAAATGAAACTAGACTTACCATTCTGGTCTTAAAAGCCAGATAAGTTGACTTGTGGAAAAATGTTGGGAAGCAAAACTGACGTTTTGGTTAGCTGTTATCTGAAAGGGCTATTAATACATGTGCCTGTAGAATGTAGAAATTGAACTGGAGTTTAGATCTACCAGTAGAAAGTGAACACCAATATCGGACAGTGCTAATACTTTTGACATTATTAGAAGCTTTTGTAAGTATGTTTTTGTACTGTGAACCTGGATTGGGGGCAGATGGTGTCTATAAATCTATAGCAGGGGCTGAAATCACTTCCTGTGAAGTGAAACATTTTGCTCAAGAACATTTTCATGCATTTACCTATACGAATATTCTCTTGATTTTATTTAGCTTTTTTGTCAAGTAATTAAGTAAATTTACAGATTAAAATCTAGTTGATAAACTTTTGCTGCTGGCCGTGAAGAAAAAAATACCCTGACAACTTTCTGTTAATGCATAATTTTTCTTGGTACACAAGATTTTGGAAGGTGACAGAATATTTTCCAAATGCAGGATGCACATATGAAGCTCATAGGAACTTGGGTTGGATAGAAAAGCAAAGGGATGTAGGTTATGCTAAGATGAGAACAGCAAAAATGATATTTTAATACAATGTAGTTTGGGACAGTCTACATTGTATTTTTTTAATTAAATTGAAGTTTATATGATCCCTTTGGTTGAAATAATAATGATCCTACTTTGTATAACAACTAACCGTTTTAAAGAGGAACTCTTATTCTCAGCCAAACTTTTAACTGTGAAAACTCGAGTTTACCTTTCAGGCATTGATACGATATTTTTTTCTTCCTAATCCACTGCAGATAAAGTTAAATGCAAAACTCCTTGTCCACTTTTCTCTCCTGTCTATTCATGCTAATGGGGTTTTACATATTAAAGTTCTTTGATATAATCACAAACTTCTTTCCCTGTTACTGTGAGTTGGCAGTAGGGACAAATGGGCAGAGGGACTGGCCTTACCGATTACTTTGCAAATGTAACAGTTTTGGGTAAGAACATAGGAAGGAATTCCTGAAAGGTAAAAGGATTTCCAGGAGCTTATTCACATTTTCATTATCCTTTGACTGAGCACAAAAGTTCGTCTTTAAATAGTAGAAATAGCTGCCATATTGGGGTGGGTATTGAAATTAAATAAACCTGTGGGTTGTCTTGCTGTTCCTAAAGTAACACACCAGTGAAGTTTGGGAAAAATTTTCTTTAGAAAAGTGCCAGTGTCAGGACATGTGATGCTAAGACAAATTTTTTTTTTTTCAGCTCTTAGAGGAACAATAGGAAGCTTGAGACCATCCAAGCTGCTAAATATTTTAGGAGCCTGGTTGTCTTAATACTTGAACACATAAGCAGTCGTTTATGATGCAAATTCATATCTGGCTGCTACTTTCTCTTCTCCAGATAGACGAAACTGTCTGCCAGAAGGCTTTTCATTATTATTTCCCCCCTGCCCTGCCTCCTGGTGTGAGCATGTTCAAACAGCAGGACTTAGTATAGTGAAGAATAAAACAAGAAGAAAAATGCATGAAACCTCAGTAAATGGGTGAATAGACATATATTTAATAAAATTGTTAGTTTCATAATCTTGAAGTCTTAGATGTTAAGTGTGAATGTCTTGATTGAATGAGAGTCCTGAAAGTTAGCTAGTCCTACAGTAATGTACTCACATTTCATTATTCTCCAATTTCAGTATTATGGACTGCAAATCTTGGAAAATGTGATAAAAACAAGATGGAAGATTCTTCCAAGGAACCAGTGCGAAGGTAGGGAGGGACTTTTGTTTTCTCTTGACTTTTATATAAAAACTAAGATTTAGACTGTCAGTCCCCATGTAAGTAATTTTCAGCTTCAAATACAATTAGGCTAATAGCTTTTCATCATGTAGTGAGACCATCTGTGCTTTTCTGGATGATGAAACCATGTCTTTCCCTTTCATGAGAATGATCTCGGAGGGATGGTGAGAACCTGAAATTTTGTAAATGTCATGGGAAGGTAAAAGGTGTGACTGATAGTTTTGAAACATCGTAACTTAAGTGTTGTACTGACTTACAGGTCATACTTATCTGAAGAGGTCTAGGCACCTTCTGAAGTTAGCTTCTGGCTTTGAGGTAGAGGTTTCAATTCTCTATACTTAGCACAGGAGGCTCTCTTCAGCTTGTCTGGGCTGTGTATGCAGCCCCACAAGTATGCTCTCATTTTTCTGGTAAACTCTGTGGTCCATCTGGTATTGGGTAGATCTATGTGACTTTTTTGAAATTGTAAGCAGCCATAATGATTTTAAAATAGAAACACTAAGTAAATGCGTAGTTTTACCTACTAATGGTCATTAGTTCTTTTAGTCAGTGAGATACTATAAAGTCTGCTTTTAATTCATGTAAGTGTATATGCACCTAGATTGCTGTAATTGGAAGTGCAGTGTAGGATAAACCCCAGTCTTCTGTCATTGCAAGGAATCTGGAAGCCTTAAAATAAATACAGTGTTTTGTTTTTGTCCCGTCCTTCCCCCATTATAGCTTGAAATATGTATTGAATCTTGGATGTAGTCTGTAGTAAATGGAGGTACGTCTATGGTAGAAGGCTAGTGCTTGTCTAGGTAGCTCTCTGTCAAGTGATGATACCTTGGACTTCAAAACATTAAGTACAGCTACTTTAAATTCTTGACTATCTCGATTTCAGTAAAGCATTTGAC